ACTAAGATTAGTTCAATAGTTCAAGTTTGGTCACTCTCCGTTAGTTTTTGCTGATGTGGCAGTCAACTATTATAGTTGACCGTTAAATGAGTGACGTGGCCATTAAAAAAATAAAAAAAAATAAAATTTAAATATTTACAATTTCCACCTCATTTTACAATTATTAAAAATAAAAATAAAACTTACCTCCTCCCTAACGCCGTCGCCACCACGGATCTCCGATTCAGCCTCCTCTCCTCCAACTCCTCCCCCGCGTTAAACCCCTAAAATGATGGTTGTGTTGAACGCCGGCAGAAAGTAATACCCTGAACCCTTGCAATTGAACTAGACTATACTTGGCGGTAGTTGAATGCCGGCAGGCGGCGGCGGGCAATCCTTGTAAAGCAGAACAAATTGAGTGTCCGGCGCGAGATGGAAGAAATCCGTATCCAAGGTGGTGTTTCGCGGAGGGAAGCAGAGGATACTACCTTCGCCGTCTCGCAGAACGGTAAGGGTCCGAGACTGTTCGTCGACTCGGAGGATCTTGTAGAGTATGCCGAGCAGGCCGATCATCGGAAACACGCCGGCGCTGCAGCTAAGACCGAGCGACGGGAGGCCGCAATGGTGCGGGCGTTTGACCCCCGAGAAAGGATACCCGATTCGGAAGCCGCCGCATTCGAACTTGCGGCTGCAGTTTGTATTATCTTGCGTCTGTAGCGCTGATCATGATGATGGCGACGGTGCCGGAAAAAATGAAAAAACAGAGCATTGCTCTTTTTCGACCAACCCATCCATTTGCCATTTAGGACAGTGTCCAAATTACCAACTCTGTTTGAGGCAGAGGAAATGGAAAAGGATGAAGCATTGTTTATTGATTTCATCGCAGGGAAGAAACATTGTTCTTCAATTTTCTCGCCCGCCTGTTTGTTGTTTTGTTTGCTTAAGCTAGTTACAGCCAACTCTGGAAGATCTTGGATTGGCTTTCACAATGATATGAGTTGTGTACTTTCCACTTCCTGTTTGTTATTTTTTTTTTTTTCACAGTTGCATTGTCCCTGATGATGATTGTATGTGTTGTATTTTAGGGGTTTAACTTGAGAATGTCAGCATCATTTATTTTAGGGGTTTAACAGAGAGCACCACCGCAGCAGCTCCTTGGAAAGTGGGAAAAGGAAAAATGATGGTTGTGTTGTTGTTGGCGATTATTTACGGTTTCTAGTAGCGATTTCAAAGGGGGTTTTGCGACTGGGTTTCTGCAGCTCATCAATGGCGTTGGTCTTTGCGTCCGGGACTTATTGTCAACTACCGCCAAGTATAGTCCAGTTCAATTGTAAGGGTTCAGGGTATTACTTTCTGCCGGCGTTCAACACAACCATCATTTTAGGGATTTAACGCGGGGGAGGAGTTGGAGGAGAGGAGGCTGAATCGGAGATCCGTGGTGGCGACGGCTTTGGGGAGGAGGTAAGTTTTATTTTTATTTTTAATAGTTGTAAAATGAGGTGGAAATTATAAATATTTAAATTTTATTATTTTATTATTTTTTTAATGGCCACGTCACTCATTTAACGGTCAACTATAATAGTTGACTGCCACATCAGCAAAAACTAACGGAGACTAACGGAGAGTGACCAAACTTGAACTATTGAACTAATCTTAGTGACCATGAATGAAATTAAATATTTGCAGTGACCAAACATGAACGGTTTTAGTAAACTCAATGACCATCATTGCAATTAACCCGTATTGGTGCTATAGGTTTTTGCTTTTATGGTACAACTTAAAATTGTACATTTACGTTATGGTACAACTTCAGATTGTACCTATACTTTTGTACAAATTCTTTTATGGTAAAACTTGAACTTGTACCTTTATGTGATGGTACAACTTCAAGTTGTAAAGTTGTACCATAACAGAAGGGTACAAATTGCTTTATGGTACAACCTAAACTTATACATTTAATGTAATGGTACAACTTTAAATTGTACATTAAAGCACCAATACTATATAGCATAGTAGAGGTGCTCTATTTTAATCATCATTTGCCACTTTTCATCATTGTCTACCATCTCTTGCCATCCTGTATAAGGTAGTATATTTGGTCCGAATTTCAGGATTATATTGGATCAAGTTTGGGTCAAGTTTGCTGACAAAAAAATAAAAGAAAATTATGATGCATTTTTTTAAGTTGTGTTATCCTTTCAACTTTTCCTTCTACGAATCACTCATCCCTAATTCACCGTTGCTTCTCCTCCACTCTCATCTTCGAATTGCCTCCAAACCATCACATGTCATATCGAGGGCCCAATAACCAGTGTCCTTTCTCTTACCTCCCCACAACATTGCATCCATCTTCCTCTCACGTGGCTCCCCTTGCTATAACAACTCGGACACAATGGCGGATCCAGAACTGAGTAGAGCATTGAGCCACATTTTGAAAAGAGGCAGAGTGAGCTGGGCCATAGCTCGACAAACACTTAAACGATTACCGAAAATACAAAATTTACAAGTGCTATACTAGCTTTGATCTAGAGGAGGGCTGGGTTGCGACCCGAGGCGGTCCCCTGAATTATCTGCTGCTCGGGCATCATCACTATATGGTGACTGTAGTTGTACCATAACGTATAGGTACAATCTGAAGTTGTAACTTCAACCCCCATCCCTCTGACTTTGTTGGCATCAAAGCTCTCCTCTGTCCACCTCCCACATGCCACCACTTTCACTTATTAGTGAGACAACCCGTTTAACTTCCTCATTTGTCGATGGCTTGTACTTCTCATTTCCCCTCGAAAGCATCAGGAATGTCTGTTGAAGAGACTATTAGTTTAGTTTATGTGTGTGCGAATTAATTCTTAAACATGAGTTACTTGACTTACTTTTAATATTTTACAAAATACGAGTAAAAAAACTAACAAAATTTCTATCAAATTTTCAAAATGCGTAAAAACTCGCACTTTTACTCGTCATTTCGCTTATACGGAGAAGACAGACTCTGATAATATTGATCTCAACCCTTAGATATTGACCCCACTCAAAATCAATGAATCATATTTAATTATGCACCCTATCCTATTGGCACCTACTAAACAACGAGAGGATTACTTCGATTTTTTTTGTTTACACCAAAGAATTGGAATATAATAAGGTTTGGGTAATCAATCATCCAACTAGACAAACCTCAAACTAATCCCACTTCCCATTCCTTGTTGAAATGGGATTAGACAACTAATCCAGGTGAGGTCACCCGAGATCGACACCTCTCCTACTATTTCCTCCTTTGATCACGCTCTACTACCATTTTCCCTTGGATCACGCTAATTACCTTCCTTTTGTTTATTTGTCTTTTCTTATCACCTTATAAAATCAAATAATAATATGATAATAATAGTTTATTTAGAAAACAAACATAATATGAATTAACCTCGTATGAACAGTGGTCAGTGAGGTGGTCTAGTTGAAGTGCAATTCTGCGGGGATGCGAAGTCCGTCATTGACAAAATTCAGGCTAGGGATACTCGGGATGTGAAAGGAGGTCGGATTCTTGAAGAAATTCGAAAGCTTCGGCATCTATACCTGCGCTTCGAGGTGGCTTTTATTGGCAGGAGTAACAATCGGGTGGCCCATGAGGTGGCTAGAAAGACCCTTTCTTTGTTGCCTGCAGTTGTAGATACTTTTGATTTTTATCGTTGGTTTGATTTTGAGATGTAAACTTTTCTAGCTGTTTGCCTTGGTAATACAAGTGATCTATTGGTAAAAAAAAAAGACAGTGGTCAGTGAGCTTATAGGTACAAACAAAATTAGCTAGATGGAATTAAAAAATGCATCATACTGCTCCGTATGCCCTAAATTGGTGACTGTAATTGATAAGAAAATGACAATGATGGTGAACGAGTTGGGTGGGGAGTCAAAAATTGGGTGAAAACTATTTTGGAAGAGGAAGAGATGAATTATCTTTGAGAAAAAGGTAAAATGCCCTTTACTATTATGTGCGCTTGATTGTTTTTAAGAGGTGAAAGTCTAAGTTGATATTGAATGAAATTTCATTCTAGTCGAAATTATATAGAAAATGAGGAAAGAATAAAAAAAAAAACATTAATAATTAAAAAAAATACTGACCACTTGTTCAATTAAATTTATCATCACAAACTCAAAGACCAACTATAGAATTCAAAAGTTTGTACAAAACAATATATATGTTGAAATTACTATCTTTAAATAAGATATTTAATTTATATTGCTCTTTAACATTACATACAATGTGACATATATATGACCTGACAAAATTGATTCTAGTTATTGCAACCCCGAGTCTTCGACCAAGCTTATTTTGAACGATTACCATACCGTTTGATATAAACGAATTCCTTAAGTTTTGAGGAATTCATTTTGAAATGAAACATTTTTTTTGTTTGGTATTTAAAAGAATCTATTTTCAATTCTAAATTTTTAATTTTATGGAATTGGTACTAGTTATAGCAATTCCGAGGAATTGAGATCGAATTTCCAAATGAATGTCACAACTATTTACTAATTATAATCGAAATGACATAATTATCCTCTTTATTCACTAAATTACTGATATATATATGACATACCAAACACAATAATTCATTTTACAATGAATTCTACACGACAGTGCATTTTATTTCTAAAGATTTGAATATGAAATACCAAACACAAAATTTCATTTGACAGTGAATTATACACGGTAATTCAATTTACAGTGAAATGAATTCTTAATTCATTTGATACCAAACGGTCTGATAAGAATCATTTACCACACGATTTTGGAAGTAAGATTTCACATACCCATATGAAAAATATAGAATTTATTGACCAAATTATGTAAAATAAATGATGTTCCCTTATTTTAATCCCATGTCAGAGCCTCCATGCATTTAATTACGTGCCAAAGAAAGAACCTCACGTTCCACCTAATTTCATGCCATTAAGAAGGTAACTAACTTACGAATTAATACAGAGTTAGAGGTGAAAGAAGGAAAAAGGTAAGAAACTAAAAGGGAAAAATAAAAGTTCGATTCACTCACCCTCACTTCATTACAGAATAAATGCAAAAAAAAAAAAAAAAAAAAAAGGTGAGAGGCAAAACTGTCGGTGGTTCTCCTCAAAGACGACAGTGGGCTCGCTCTGCGCCTCTGTGAATTGCCGTTGAGCTTTCGACTTCAGCTACTTGTCTCTATCCATTTATTTCTGCACCTCTCCTCCCCACCCCACTGCTCACAAAACCTACTACTGCTCAACTATTCCCTCGAAGCTCTTCCCCCTGAAACATTCATTCGCTTCCTCTGTTTTCACCCCCCATTCCCGGCCAAACAAGAACCGTAATTTGAGGGGACGGGTGGGAAAATGGGAGTGGATTTGAGGCAAGTGGTTGCTGGGATACTCACCATCACCATGTTCGTCATGCTTGGTGATATGCTCAAGCGGGATTACATTGACAATCCTGAAGTACGTCTTCACCTTTTCCCCCCCTATTCCCCTGTTTTTCTCTCTGTTTCCCCTTTTCTATTTGATATGAGTTTTTGATTCGAATCCTTGATTTCCCCCTTTTGCATTTGAGACATTCGGATGATGTGCTGTGTAATGGGTTCTCGTTGGTTCTTCGGAAAGTGCTAATCTTTTCTGTAATTTGTGAAATGAGTACAAGATCCACGGGATCGTGTTCTTTTTTGGGACTTGTCTCTTTGTTTTTAAGGGAAAATGATGGGCCTCGGGAATTGACCGTCGTCTAATTCGAATCAATGTTTTTAATTTTCGCTTTCCGTGTATTTGATCCTCGTGGTAGAATTTCATTTACTGTTCCACCTATCCCTTTTTACCTGCTAATGTACTGACGCCGTCGACGTGCTTATCCGAGCAGGAAAGGTTTCCCGGCGAAGCCAGAGATGTTGGGTTTGATAGCGGGAACGTTATGGAGAAGTTTTCAATGAAGACTAACGGTCCTTGGATGGAAGAGAGCGAAGCGCTTACACCTTGTTGGAAGAAGAAGGCTGATTTTGGTATGTTTGTCAACTTGGGTTCCTCGAGATGCAGGTTTTCCCCATTATGGTTCTGAATCTGATTGGGGTTTCTTCTTGGTCGTTGCTTTGTCTGACAGATGAGATAGAGGATTACAAAGGGTTTGTCACGTTCTCGTTAACCAATGGACCGGAGTATCACGTCTCACAGGTATCCTAAACTGGCCTGATATATTTGGGCAATGCAGTTATATAACTTCTCGATGGTGATGATTGCAGTTGTGAATTAAAATCTATGGTTTCTTTCCTGCATTCGACTTTTCAGTTAAATCTGTTATGTTAATCATACTTGCTCCAGTTTCTCTCCTACTTTTGCTGGTTGTAACTCTTTTCCGCGTAGTGAGATGTTCTGCAGCATTAGGTTGCATCTTTGTTGTGCAGCTTCCAATCGTCCGGAGATGAGCATGAATTGGTGTTTTGATAAGGATAGATGAGGACACAATGTATCCCTTCTTGCTTTCTGAAGATAGATGTTTCATGGATCCACATCCTTTCTAAATCTCTTCATCTCCATGTGGGGAATGGTTTCTGCAGATTAGTGATGCAGTGGTGATTGCTAGATATCTGCAGGCAACTCTTGTACTTCCTGATATTAGAGGAGACCGACCAGGCGATGAGAGGTTAGTTTGCGGCTTTTAGGCTTCTTAGTTGGTTTCTTTTTTATTTATTTGTGGGTCAGATAGATTGTTAAAGTTAAAACATTTTTGGACTTTCTTATTGTCACATCCTGTAATGTGGGAACTGGAAACTAAATCCATGTCTGTTGGAATTTAGCACATTGTGGTTCAGTTGCACAATTTTAGTACCTTGGGGACATGCCTTTCTGTCCTGTCCTTAAGCAGTCAAAGATAGTTTTGATACCTACCAACAGATTTTGTTTGTAAGCATTGTGTGCTTCTGAATTCTGTGTCAAATACCTATTGATATCGGATTCTGTGTCATATACCTCCTCATGAAATGCTGGCTCCAGATGAGTGTTCATATTTTTATGGCTTCATTCTACACGTAGTTTTTTTTAATCTTTGTGCAGAACATGATGGTTGACTGCAATTTTCAGGAAGTTTGAAGACATCTATGACGTTGGGAAATTCATCAATGGTTTGGATGGGGTAGTTAAAGTGGTGAGAGAGCTTCCGGATTCTGTATCAATTCGAGATTTTGAAGTGGTCAGGGTACCCAATCGAGTTTCAGAAGCATACATTGCAGAGAAAATTGAACCAGTCTTTAGAAGCAAGGGTAACATCAGAGTGGCAAGTTACTTCCCCTCTGTAAACATGAGGAAGACCCCACAGAAGGACGGCAGTGATACACTCGCATGTTTGGCCATGTTTGACACTTTGGAGTTGAAGCCTGAGGTTAATGAGGTGGTCGACGATATGGTTGCAAGGTTGAAAACTTTGAGCCACAATTCTGGTGGTCGGTTTATAGCAGTGGACTTGAGAGTTGACATGTTGGAAAAGAAGGGTTGTAATGGAGGAGCCAGTGCAACAAAGAGCTGTTACAATGCACATGAGATTGCCCTATTCTTGAGGAAGGTTGGATTTGGGAGTGGCACCGTGATCTATCTAACTCAGTCAAGGTGGGACGAGAGTCTCGATGTGTTGAAGGACATCTTCCCTAAAACTTACACAAAGGTGAGTCATCATTGTCTGTCTTCTTCTTACAACACGAATCGGGTTGATAATATCAAAATGGCAGGTCATCCCACTTCCTAGCATTCTAACATCATGCAAAACTTGCAGGAAAGTGTAATGCCAGCGGAGAAGAAGTCGAGGTTCTTGGAGTCAGAAGATTCGGAGTTTGAGAAGGTCATCGACTACTACTTGTGTTCCAGAAGTGATGTCTTTGTACCGGCCATCTCTGGCCTGTTCTATGCGAATGTAGCCGGTAAGAGAATAGCCACCGGCAAAACTCAAATACTAGTACCAGCTGAGATTCCGGGTACATCATCACCGATCACCAGTCATTTCTCTCCATACATCTCAAAGAGGAATCACATGGCCCATACATGTTTTTGCTAGCAATTCCATAGGCGAAGGCAGTAAAGCGAAATGGGGTTGCAGAAGCCTTCCACATAATACTCTTATTCATCATACTGCAGAAGGATGAGAAGCTTCAATATGTACAATATTAAGAAACTGGGATCAAAGTTCATCCCAGGAAGCATATTTCTATTTGTTTTGACTTTTTTTTTGGGGGTGGCTTTTGAATTGGTTTTGTTTCTTCAGAACAAAGTGGTTTTGTATTGAATAGGATTCAGGTAGCTCTCTTTTTGTGAGGTAGGTACAGATATTTTGAAGAACCTGTGTTGATGTCATTGTTGTAATACTTAATGATTATAGTTCATGGTGAAATCAGTGGTATTTCCTACATATTTCCATTGCCTTTTCTCCTTTGTGTTGTTGGATAAATGTTTTTCAGGGAACCTCTATACATGAGATGAGTTGTAGTTTGGTGTAATCTAGTAAAGCCTGATGTCTTTCTATGTCTATTAGAGTTCAGGTATTGTATCACATATTCACATTACAAATTTTAGTTAGTTTATGGTCTCAATAACATCATCCCACTAAACTCAGTTGCGTTAATGAAATTGCAAAACCATGTGGTATTTGTTGTCACCTCAACAATTTCTACCGGTTGGTCGTTTGGAGGTTAGAATTCTCTAAATTTGCATATTGTAATTTAATGCATTGATGAAATGCATGAATTTGGAAAATATCTTGTTTGAAGGTTAGATTGTGTTTTTGTTATAAAGAAAAGTTGGGTAGACAATCACTTGTTAACCATCTCACCTTTTAGTAGAGATTGATAATCCACTCATATTGATGGATTGTATGTAGGCCCATAAAAAAGGCAATCCATGTTTATACAAAAAAATAATAATGAAAAAGATAATCCATGTATTCATCTCAAACTTTAAAAGATAACTTATTTGTAAGTTGTAACTAATACACAAACTGTCTCATTAGGCTTGTTGCCCATCATTCAACACTTTTAAACTATAGTGGACATATGCTGGAATCATTGGATGAACTTGAAGTTCTCAACAGCGATGCAAGAAACATCTTCATTGAAGTTTCCATTGACGGTATAGTGGAAATTCCTCTTCAAATTTTGCATTTTGGGTATGGTTTGTAATTCTGTTGTGTTGAATATAATACCTTTTGGGGTCAGTACTCAGTTCACTGTTTCAAGTATATGACATTCAACATATAGCAAGAGCCGATATCAGCTGTTCTTCGTTAGATGCTTATATCACAGTATTGAACAAATGACTGGACGATATAGAACTCTTCCTTAACTAAGCAGAAGATAACATATTACTTGTTAATATAGCCAGCAGCTGAAATAGGTACCTTGATGTACATGTTAGATGGGTTCTCTAACAATACAAAGTCTGCAGAAGCTTTAAGGTACTGGTGTACTGCAGATTTTGAAGATAATATTCTAGAAGGGTCTCATGGGAAGTCCTTTGGGTTTTATTTCGTTTTTTCTAATGACTAATTGAACATACTGAACATATGGTATCAGCCATCTCTCGTAGTGGCCTACTAGTGATGTCTTGAAAATGGCTTATGTTCTGGTTGCTCCTTGTTAGTACCTAATGGATTCTGTTTTCTTTTCAAACTAGGATGGATCCAGAAGCGGCTGATGAAACTATACATTGATTGCTGTAACGAGTTATCAGAGTCACCCAATATAAATTTGCTTAAGAAGCTGTACATTTCAGAGGTATGTGTTGGTCATGTAGGTGCTGATTGACCACGATTATCTTGTCATTCATCCTAAATTTTGACAATGCCTAATTCAGTAATTCTCTATCTTTTTCTAGTTGAATGGTGCCTAATCTGAAATTGTTTCATATTCTATACTGTAACAGGTGGAGGATGAAGTTACTGCTTCGGATTGTGGGCTGCAAGATATATCTATAGCTCCGTTATTAAAAGCCCTGCACACGCACAAGACAGTGGTTATGCTGGATCTTTCTCATAATTTACTAGGTGCATGTTTTCTCCATTGGTGATAGTTTGCCTCCCATTTGTGGCTTGATGAAATATATCAATGAGGGAAAAGTCATCCTAAGCCTTCCTCTATCAATTCCTTATGTGAGTGTTAACGGTTATTTTCTCCTAGGAAATGGAACGATGGAGAAACTTCAACAATTTTTCACATCAGGCCAAAAGTATGGTGATATAACTTTAGACCTGCACTGCAACCGATTTGGGCCTACTGCATTGTTTCAGGTTATTTACCCTTAGCCCAATATGTTCTGTCCGTGCATGTGAAGCTTCACTCTTTTCGACTCTATCCCTTTGTTTAGAAGACTGAATTCTTCTGTTACTATTTACTCTTGTGCACTGTTTGATTTTGCTTTCATTTTATTAATGATGCCTTGGTTCTCTCTTTTTGAGGGTTTATCATCTTAGTTCCACTGAGATATATTTAACTTTTATTTACCAAGTCTTTTGTTTGTTCTCCAAGAGATCAGTTCTAACTGCTCCTTCCATTTTCTATTTTTCAGATCTGTGAATGTCCTGTCTTCTTTTCTCGGCTCGAGGTGCTTAATATCTCTGGCAATCGTCTCACTGATGCATGTGGATCATACCTGTCAACTATATTGGGGAAATGCAAAGGTAAAGAGAAATATCTGCTTACTGTTTTATAATGTTAACCACGCTTTTAGAGCAAGCAATTGACTAATTGTAGATGCTTGATGAATCTTACCTGTTTGTTAAGTTTTCTTCTTCCGTTTGAATTGCTTTCTAGTCTTTCTGCTTGATGATACCTGTTTTGTTTAGCAGAGTGATCAGCATATGCTTATATTTTAAGAAGTCAGTGTTGTTGTTGTTCTGGCTTGCTTTTGGTCATGTCCTTTCCTCTTATGCTCTAATCTGTTTCTTCTGGTTCTGGGGTTGTTGGGTACATTGGGACCCCTGCCCACCTTGTACCATTTCCTTCCTCTACTTCTTAAATCTAATAATACGAGTTCACCATTACCACAAAAGAAAAGAAAAGAAAAAAAGAAGAAGCTAACACTGGCAAGTTTTTCAAGTTCCTGCTTCTTCTTTGTTCCACTGACCAACAGTGTTGTCTTGCAGCTCTTTACAGTTTGAATATAGAACGCTGCTCCATCACATCTAGAACGATTCAGAAAGTTGTCGACGCAATACATTCTGATTCAGTCTTGGCACAACTTTCCATAGGTGCATTTCTGTGAAATCAGTGATAACTGATCTTAAAATTCTGCATCACTCTCTCTTGGTGTCACATAACTAATTACTGATCACACAAGCAGGACATAATCCCTTAACAGGAGCTTCCATCACCAATCTATTGAAAAGACTTTCCACCCTAAATAGGTTAGCAATGTCATTATTTAATATCTCTATGTACATGCTACCTAGACATTTTTCAAGGCATGCTGCTTTGACGGCTAAAAGAACGGCATTTTCTTTTGAAAAAACCTTTGTAGCTTCGCAGAGCTGGATCTGAGTGGTCTGAAGCTAAACAAGCCAGTCATTGACAGCCTATGCGAACTAGCAAAAACTTCTTGTTTGACAAGTTTAAGTGTTGGGAGCACCGGCATAGGAAATGTGGGTATCTCTAAGATCCTGATTTTGCTGTTGTAGTTGGCAGATTTATTTATTTATTTCGTTGAACCTAGCTTCTCCTGTTTGTCATGATACAATCTCTGATCATAACTGCAGGAAGGGGCTCTGCAGTTGACCGATTCGCTCCCCACCGGATCTCAAGAATCTCTGAAACTTGACCTGTCTTACTGCACCCTGACATCTGCATACATTCACAAACTTGCCTCGAATCTCAACCTTGCTTGCTGCATTATGGAGCTGAATCTCCAAGGAAATCCTATCCTACCACTGGTTTGCCCTTCATCACCTTATCTGACAACTCCTGTGTTTGCTATTTCTTTTTCATTATTTCAGTGAACTCAATCTTTACACAGGGAGGGAATGCATTAGTGTCGCTCCTGAAACAGCCAGGGTGTTGCCTTAGGCTTCTGGTCCTAAACAAATGTCATCTGGGGCTTCTCCTCGTTCTTCAATTGATCCAAGCACTTGCAGGTTTTTTCAGAGTCCACACAATGAGCTCTCCTTATCTTCTGTAGTTTCATTTCCCACGTGCATGACCCTTGACCAATTGCCTGCGACTCTTAATCTTCTCCACAGAGAATGATCAACTGGAGGAGCTCCACGTTGCTGACAACGATGGCCTGCACAAGAACGAAATCTCAACCCCAAAGAAACCACCGACGGATGAAAGGTTACTTGATTGCAGAGTAAACACGGGACATGATGAAGACCTTGTAGTTGCTGACAGTGAGGATTCAACCAGAACAGAAGCTGCTGCATCTCGGTTCGAGCTCAACGACACCTGCACAAGCTCCTCCAGGAAGACAAAGAACGAGAACGAGAGTAACAACAACAACAACAACAACGATGACCTATCGTCAAACGAACATGGCAGCATGGTCAAGCAGCTATCGGAGGCCATTGTTGCGGCCAAGGCACTGCAGCTGTTGGATTTGAGCAGGAACGGGCTATCGGTGCTAGATGTGGAAGCACTGTATGGTTCATGGTCGGCGAAGGGGTGTTCGACTCGGAAGCACGTTGAGGACGAGATAGTTCATTTCTCGGCTGGAACGAAGAGGTGTTGCAGGAAGCCTTGCTGCAGAAGGGAGTGAGTTGGTTTCTGGAATCCTGCATGCATATGACATGAAACTTCGGTGTTGCTGCTGGGTTACTTCCTACTTGAACCTTTTTTTTTCCTTCTGGAGCAAGTTATAGTGGGTTAAAAGCTTCACCTTCACGGAATGGTATTATCGTAATTCCATTCTAATTAAGTGGAAGCAACGAAGTTGCTAGCTACTTTACAACAGTGGGATCTTTCTTCGTTTCCTTGCTCCTCCCTGCACTGCACATTTGTCAACTCCTCCGGTTTCCGTCTTCCGCCGGCTAGCTCCTTCCCCTTTGTCGCTTATTTCTGCCTATACATTCCCTTTCTCGCTAGTCGCTACGGGTAAATTTCGACCAGCCATACTAAGATCATTCTATAGTTTTTTCCACGGTGGTTAAAGTTTTTTTTTTTTTTTTTACAAAGGGCACTACATTTCCATTACTTGTGGCAGAAGTCAAGGATTACAAGAGGGGAGCAACAACATCAAGAATCTGAAGCCATTCGTTAGGCAGCTGATTCTTTGTACAAGATCTAGCTACCCAGTTTGCTTTGGAATTATTCTTCCTGTTGATGTGGTCAACCTTGATCATCCGGTGGGCGATTGTGATCTGCTTGATCAGGCCAAGCCACGCTGCTGCACACCATGGCCACAAGCCAGGCTGGCCCTGAAGCCACGGTGGTTAAAGTTAAACCTCCCAAAGTTGTCTCTTTGCACAGAACAAGCAAGAATCAGCCGAGGGAAACGTACACGACCTATTTGCTTTGGTACATGACCTTTCGATCTCCAACCTAGTAATGGCAATTAGAACTTGTAACACGGGTATTACTTGACTTGAACCGTTTTGGTGACATTACTCTATTTGAACCGCATTGGTGCAGTGTAGGTAATACTTGATCCATGCTAGTGTGTGCATGGAAAAGAAATAACACTTTCACTTTGTTTCGTCACCTTCTGCTTCATTCTTGAATCGTTCTACTTTAGTTTGCCTAAATATTTGTATTATTTCTCCTATTTTAATATATTTTAACTTATATTATTATCCAATAATACTTTGTATAAGTGCAAGACTTCACCTTTCAACTAGCTCGACTCGACTAATGTATCTATTATCTCTTTTTTATTTATTTATGGACTATTTAAATTTAATTTATTGTGGAAATAATCCTTTTTTTAAATAAATCAATAATATATAAGAATTGATCAACCTATACCAACCCGTACTCATGTATTTCACCATCTCTACATTATCTCATTTTAGGGACAAAACAACATAATTAGTGGCAGAGCCAGAAATTCAAACAAACAGACTGACTTGAATTGTTCAAATTAGATGATGAGACTAAAACCATAAGACTAGTATAATTTCTAAATTTATATAAAATGTATATATAATTTTACGGGTCAGATTCGTGTGCTTCTGGAGCATACTATGCTTCATGTACTTATAGTGAGATATCTCTATCTAAACCATGAATTAAACCGAGTTTGGAGTATGATACTATCCCCTAACCTCAAATGGATAAACCCTAGACCCCAATTTTCCCAAACCCAAAGTTCATTTTTCTAATATATTTTAGGGTAAATACAATTTAATATCCAAACCTTTTATTTTAAACAATATAATAGCCAAATCTTTTCGAAAACAATTTAATATCCAAATCATCAACTTTATGTCTGTTTGCCCGTTAGTTGACACTTCAAAAAAGTTCGAAGTACGACACTTCATCAATATCCATCGATGTCTTCTCTGAAAAACCACCAACATATCGTAGTTCCAAACCCGAGAAGTCCATGACTCCACCATGATGGTATAGAATATCTAAATATTCAGTCATCTGCAATGCCAAAACAAGAAACAAAGTTGTATTGTGACAATTTCCCCTAAACAAAGCTTTTTTGAAGTGTCAACTAACAGTCAAACGAACGGAAAGTTGACGATTTAGATATTAGATTGTTTTCGAAAAGGTTTGGCTATTATATTGTTTAAAATGAAAGGTTTGGATATTAAATTGTATTTAACCTATATTTTAAGGCAAAATACCCTTGCATAGCCAAAACTTTCACCTTTGTGCCACTTATAGCCACATTTGGCGAAATACCACTAATAGCCACTTCCGTCCGATTCTTTAACGCTGTTAACGTTAAGTGTGACTGGGCAAACGGAAGGGCTTACGTGTCAAGCCTGCGTTTTACACGTGGATAATAATTAAAAAAAAAAACAAAATCCCTAATTTTTTCACCGTCGTCGTTTTCTACTTTCTATCTACTCCTTCGTTTTCCCCTCAGTCGAATTCACCCACCCATATTCGAAGGAGACGAAGCGACGAAGGCAGTTCAATCCTCACCACAATCCATTTCCAATCTGAAACCCAGAATGCCATAGCCAAAAACCAGCTCTTCCCCCGCATCTTCTGCCGCCGTCAAGCCTTCCTCGTCCAGATCTTGACTATTCTGTCACCAAATCCGCCGTCATCTCCGTCACTGCTGCAATTTCCCTCTCTGTCTCTCTTTATCTCCTTCTCCCATACCATCTCTCCTGCTGCTTTGGCCTCGACAACTTGTCCCCGCTCCTCCGCCTCCTCTTAATCGCCATCGCGAAACAGAGTAGCAGCAGCGACGAGTATCCTATTTTTATCGCCTGCGAGCTTAACAGAGAGGTGAAGGCGACAGGGATTTGGGGATTATGGGTTTGCCGGCAGCGTCGATTTTGAGCAGATTTGAAGGCGTCGACGTTGCAGATCTGAACGGCGCAGCAAAAGGGGTGGGAGGCGATAACGATTGACGAGGGATTTGGAGTAGGGATTGAAGAAGCGGATTGAGGCTAGCTCTGTTTCGAAGGCCCCGTCTTGAAGCTTGAACCGTCGTTTTGCGATGGCTAGCTCTGTTTCGGCGGTGGTGCAGCGGAGGAAACGAGATGATGAGGAGGCGCCGGAGAGAGGTCGCGCGTAGGCGAGGAGGAATCGCTGGGAATTGGGGCGAATGAATCTCTATGTTTTCCAGCGTTTAGATCTGAAAGAGGAAGAAAGAGATTTGTTGGAAGAGAGGAAGAAAGGGATTTCAACGGGAGAGAGAGAGTGGTGAAGTTCTTTTGTTAAATGTTTTTTCTTTTAATAAATTTTGTTTTTCGTTAAATTTATTTTCATTTAACAATGAGGGTAATTTTTTTTTAATAAATAAATTATTAAGCTGACGTGTCAATTTTTGCTTAGCTATCGCTGATGTGGTTGATGATTTGGCGCCTCGTCAGCCAACCGTCAAATAAGTTGACGGAGTTATTAACACCGTCAAAGTTTCTAACGGAAATGGCTATATCTGGCACACAACATCTTTCAAAAGTGGCTATTAGTGGTATTTCGCCAAATGTGGCTATAAGTGGCACAAAGGTGAAAGTTTTGGCTATGCAAGTGTATTTTGCCATATTCTTCTTATATATAATTAGTGGGTACGCTTTTTGTCCAAAATTCTTGCTACTGTTTCAATTTTTGGCGTTTAGTGAGTTGCTATCTCAAACCTTCCACTGGAGATCTCTTTTGAAACTCGACTTTTGCGACCTCCCTGACCCACCAAAAGTGCTCGCCTGCTACACTGTGCGACCATGCTTTCCTCCCTGCTCCTCTGTCAGCTTCATTGTCCTTCTCCGAATGACCTCCTCTCTGTATGCACGCTACAACCCATGCTGCTTTTGCTGAGCTCTTTCTGCAAGGCTCCTTCCCATCCGTTTGTACGAAAATCGAAATCCGGCGCTATTGAGCACAGGGGGTGCCTCTGTGTCAGCATCTCCATCTCATTCTTGCCTGTCATTGGAATTGGAGGTTGGTTCTTCCGTTTTTTTTTGTTTCCAAAATTCACTCTCTCCTCTTCCACCGGGTTTTTCTTGCGATCTCGCCTCTTTTGCTTGCTAAACCATGATTCTTACTATCCTCTCCAAATCGGCCTTGACGGAAAAAGCTCCGACGTTGAAACTGTGTCTTCTCTACACTTGCATGGCCGAGAATACGTGGCTGTCCAATGGATGCGCCGAATACGCCATGTTATGGACATATGAGCTGGATAGTTCTCTGTGTTCTTGGGTCCTGCGGCCCAAAAAGGCAAAAAACAAAGAAAAGGGACGGATCCCTTTCTTTCCGAAGGTGGTGGAGAACGACGGCAGGGATAATGGCACTCGATGAAGGAGATGAGGACGATGGTGGCGATGGAAGTCGGGGGTATGTGTTTTAGGTTGCGTGTGGTTCTTGGAGTATTTTATGAATTAAATATTTTGATTTTGATCTATTGTTGACTGGGATTTCTGAGGGGGTGATTAAAGCCGTCGAGGAGACCACAGTCGTGATGGAAGAGGAGCAAGGGGCGGCTATCCTCAGAGCCGAATCCATACCCTTCCCTAAATCTCAGTCGATGTTCTTCAGCCCGTCGACAAGTACACAAGATTGGTGCGGCGGGAAGATGAGAAGAGAGTGTCAATTTATAGTAGGGAAAGGAGAGCATAGCCATTGTCGCCGTATGGAGAGGCTCGACATGGCTGCTCTCTCTTGCGATTGTCTGGCGATTGGTGCGGGAAGAATGGATCCTAGCGGGGGAGGGAGCACCTTTTCCACCCTATTTTCTGAGCCTCTCTAAAGTTCCCTCAATCCGAGGTTTGATCGCAAATCCCATTGTCTTACTTTCCTGTTGCTGATTTGCATTTGGCTTTCCTGAAAATAAATCTACTTTCATGTGTACCAGCAAAGTTGATTGTGAAATGTGATTAGCTTAGCCTTTCGAGGAATATTGGTTGGGTTTTCTCTATTGGACTGATATGGATTTTTTAGGTAATCAACTTAAAGTTTGTGTCCTGTCGTAACTATTATGTTTTCTTTGTGTACAATAGCTTCGTTTTTCAAGTGATCGGCATTAACCTTTCCAGCTTCAAATCTTGCTTCCCTGCTCGAACACGGAGAGACAATTGGGCAACAAAACAGTAAGTTTTATCCTCTTCTGTGGATTCTATATTTCGGATATCTGCATTGGTAAACTCCGGTTAGTGAACTAAGATGAGAGACAACAATGCAACTCTTTTGTAAACTTGGTTGATTTAGAAGCTTCAAGGAGTTATCCAGTTGATGTAGGTGCATGTGAGTCTTCAGGGGGTGGATGTGGCTCTGAAGTTGTGGTATATGGAGTGATTTCCCTACACATGTCCATATCATGGATTAGGTTGTTTCCAGTAGCTATTAATGTAGTTTCAGTGGGCTGTCTGTCATAAGTTTCTGAGATATGTAGTAGTTTTTTTTTTCTTGGTTAAGTCCAAGGTTCTTTTGCTGCAGAGTTCAGGTCGCGTGAATAACCCAAAGGCCGCTTGCAGCTGTCCATGTTAATTTTTCACTTTTCTTTATTTCACATTGGAAAGTCCCGCCTTTGTCTATGAAACGCTGTCCAGTTAGTATAGATCTAAATCCTTTCGCCAGTACCAATGTAAGCTCCACAAACAATCCGAGCATGAGTTAGTTTTTCCTATGCTTTGGTTTGCCTCATGAATTAAATTTTCCTTTGTTTTGGTTTACTTATAGCCACAACATTGTGGCTGGGTTGATCTGAAATGGTTTCCATCATTTTTCAGTTTTGGGTTTCTACGAGTTTACCTTCCCGAGTCCTGGCCCTATGCCCGACAATGGTGTACTGTCAATTGGGTGATCTTCAGTCGAATGGGTCACGTGTTGCTTCTTATCAGCTACTTTTGATTGTCTGCTCGAACCAACATTTGTGAACTGTTAATAAATTGAACAATACAATGACCTTTCCAGGATCTCAATTCACTGTCGTACTGTGTTTACATTTGGATATGGAGAAGCACCAGAACTAGCTATGCTTACCCTCAAGGGTAATCGCCCCCTATTTATGCTTCCTTCAGAGTGTTTTTTGTTTTTGTCTGTTAATTGATTCTCTCAACTGAAATGCTGCATTTTACAGGTTTGGGGCAAGGCAACTTTGGTAATAATCCAATACTTACTCTTACAATGAATTTAAACGTGGGCTTGAACTGTACAAGGCAATTTTGGTAATAATAAACTGTAGTTTCTCCAAGGCTGGTATTGTAGTTTACTTTGTCATTGTCATGTAGTTTATTCAAGCTGGTAATTTTTTCAAGACTGCTGCTGTAGCATACTCTGTAAATTTATATCAGTGGGTATATTGCACTGGTTTCATCATGGGAGGTCTTGGTCTGTGTTCTTTTGCTTATGTAGTATTTGAATCGGATTTGAAATTGGGGTAATCTATTGAATGGATGTGTTGCATATATGTGCAGGTGATGCTTGGTTGCGATGAACCGGAACCTGGAGTAACTGTAATTAGCTGCCGGGGAGGTGAAGGCTGTTACTTTATGTTTTCTACTCAATAATAATAATCTACTTTCTCTCTTTTTGGGTTGGTTACTTTATGATTGATTGTGTCATGGATCGCTTCTTCCCTAAATGTAACTTTTTAGTTACTGAATCGAAACTAACTACTGTAACTTTTTAGTTACTGCGGCGTTGCGTAGCCGCCGCAGGTATTGATTCTAGTTTTAACTTAAACCTAACTCCACCATATAGAGTATGACAAGACTTGTCCACGTCATTTGGCTTAGGTCGGCCGTCGACGTGCAAAGAAATATAAAAGGGGTTTGGATCGACGTGAGATCGTGGACGGTTTGCCGAGTCAATGGGCTAATCTGGATTGGGCCTACTGAATCAGATGTCGACAACCTTTAGTCATATAAAAATGATAATATTCCCGAACGGGATCTCCCTAGCCGTTTCCCGTTGGCTTGTTTCCTTCTAACGGAAAAAAAGGAAAAACCCTATTTTGAGTATTTTCTTTTCTAAATTAGAAACTATTTTTTTGTTTTCAGATTAAAAAAACCGCGTGAACGTCGAGAACTATATGGTGCCCTTGGGCCCCACCCACGCGCCTTTCTATTGGTTACTTTGTACACACATTACCCGCAGCAGGACGGCCTGACACGCAACCCGACAATCGACCGGCAACCGTCCCTTTCTGTAATTCCCTTTTTCTTTTCCCGGTTTCCCAAACAGGCCCTTAACTATCAGAAAGTGGGAAAAAGCATGTTGGCGCGCGGGAAGCTTCATCGAAACTTCCCTCGCACCTTCCTTCACACCTTCCGCATTATCCTCCTCGATAGCCCAAAATTCCCAACCCAACAAAAAAAAAAAAACCGAATAATAATAAATTGAAAACCGATCGGCTCTACTCGCTTTTTTCTTCTTCACTCCGATCAGATCGCTCTCTTTACCTTCTCCGCCGCCAGCTGGCCTGTTTATATATCCCGCCACAGCGATCGTTCCAACTACGCCGGCCAGAAACCAAAAAAAACCTCCACTGCCGGACCGATATAACAGGAAACGCTTTCTATTTCTGGATTCCGTGAACGACGGTGGAGCCGCTCGACATTCCTCCGCCATTGATCAGCTCTCCCTCGTAAGTTCGCTGAGCTGTATCAGCTTCCGCTGCTGTTATCCGCTTCAAAAAGTAGCTTTCTCTCTCGTTCCGGCTTTCTGTATATTATCTTTGCAATCGTGGGGGGAAAAAAATAAAAAATATATATATATCGCAGCAATTGTGAATATATTTTGTTTCTCTTCTCGACGAGCGAGGTGTCTTCTTTAGTTCTTTGTGTAGGCGAGCGACGGAATTTGAGGGAGGCGATTTATCAGTGATTTTGAATTTCGTAGAGAGAGGAGAGTACTACTGAAGAAGATTCTCTGAATTCTATTTTTGTCTCCTTCGTTTTGGTTTGTGCGACGAGAGCAGATATGAGTTTCAACTCTTCGAACGGGTTGTTGTCGACGACGACGCCGACAATGTCGGAGCGCGACCTGGAGTCCGGCGTCACTTCCGACGCCGCGGCGGGGAAGGGATTCGACGATGAGGAGAAGAAGAAGAAGAAGAAGGTGGTGGATGAGGAGGAGGAGGAAGAGGACGTGGAGGATGAATCTGATCCTTTTGATATTGCTCAGACCAAGAATGCTTCTCACAATACTCTCAGAAGATGGAGGGTACGTGATTCCTCATTACATACTCTTTTGCTTCAGTCAGCGCTACAATGATCAAAAAGGAATTTGACGTTTGTATTTCATGCTCGACGGTGCCTAATCTGCTCATAAAATCTCAGTTCTGGATAACGAATGCAATTTGAATTTGTCGATAACAAATGAAATCTAGATGTTCACTGTGCATTTGCATGAGATCATTGGTACGTGTAGTTAATTGGTTGGTGGCGTTGAACTGATGAGGGTGTGATGAAACAGCGTCGGAGATGAATTCATCCAGTTCTTAGTGATTGATATCATCACTGCATGCAAAGTTAATCTGTGAAGCGAGTGGTTTCGTTTATCCATGGCGACTGGACTGAAGGTGTTTGGTGGTACTGGTCTTTTTTTGGCAGCAAGCAGCGTTGGTTTTGAATGCTTCTCGCCGATTTCGGTACACTTTGGACTTGAAGAAGGAAGAGGAGAAAGAGCAAAGAAGGCGGACGATTAGAGCTCATGCACAAGTCATCAGAGTAATGAACAGCATACCTTACACTACTACATATCACTAGTGCATCTGCTTATCTCAGTAGAATATATATTCGCGGCTTTGTGATTATCTGTCTTTTCTGATGCTTCTGTCTTTTTCTTAACGTTGCATTTGCCAGGCAGCGTTGCTTTTCAAGTTGGCTGGAGAAAGACAAATAGGTATTTATTTCACTCTCTGGATATATCTTCATATGGTTATTAGTTGATTGTCTTAGTTGACAGCTGGGAATATTCTACTGTGCCAGTTTATGGAGCACCTTGGCTCTCATTTATGCTGAAATATCCCTAGCTTTTCCCGCTTCTTTTTCTTACTCGTATCAGAATCCCATTAGTTTCTGCTTGTCAAGTGTCAGGTTCCTCGGTTGCACCTCCAACTCCTAGCGGTGATTTTGATATTGCGGTTGAACAGCTATCGACGATGAACAGGGATCATAACGTTGAAGCTCTACAACAATATGGGGGAGTAAGTTCGCTACAATGCTGTCTTCATTTCATATTTTGATTAGTTTGTAGGCAATGGTCATTTGATTCTTCATTGCTTTTCAATCAGGTTAGAGGTTTAGAACGTATGTTGAAAACAAACTTGGAGACGGGAGTTAGCCCAGATGAGGCTGACATGTTAAATCGGAAGAATGTGTTTGGAGCAAATACGTACCCTCGGCGAAAAGGAAGAAGCTTCTTGGTGAATATTCTGCGCTGAATTCTGCTGTCCACCTACTGAGGTACTGGCAGGAAAAATAATGATTGTGTCTTGTTTGCAGAGATTCCTATGGGAAGCTTGGCAAGATCTTACCCTTATCATCTTGATGGTAGCTGCCGTATTGTCATTAGCTTTGGGAATAAAGACAGAGGTACATGTTATTAATCACTGTGCAAAATTTTACTTTGACAAATTCATTTTGCATCTTGTGACCCTTGTTGGCTTGTTGCATGTCATGCTGTAAGTTCTTGTGTAAACGGTTTATGTAACAAATCGAAATACCGATATACAAGAATCAAGCTCTCTTGTTCTAATCAAAGTTCACTGTATCTTCACAGCTCACAGTATGTTATTGCTTTTTATTTTCCCTAAAGAAGTTACCTGTGTACCTTGCTGGCTGGTTATTTCCAGGCACACTCTCCTTGCTTGTAGGGTGATGTTTGGTCATACATGATTACCTGCATTCTGCACGGTTCATTATGTTTTCTCTTTCATTTTACTAACTTTATTGTCATCCGTAGGGTATCAAAGAAGGATGGTATGATGGTGCGAGCATATATATTGCTGTTATCCTCGTCATAGTTGTTACAGGTACCTTGGTCGAAATTATCATATTCATCTAATGTGTTATGGTTGCTCGAGTCTACATATTTCATATTTTACACTGTTACCTTTTCAAACTTAGCCTTCCTTAGCCATCTTGTTATCCAGACATAATCTCTTAGGCTTGGAAGCTGAGTCTGATTTACTGCCTAACTGTTTCGAATATAGATTCTTTCATTGATGAGTTCTCTTATTTTCTTCGCTTTCATTTTAAGTTTTCTGGGCATGTTCGTTTTGGGTTTTCTAAAAATTATGGCATAAGTGACAAGGTTAGTATTTGCTCAAGTCTCAACTGGAAGATGTGCTGGTCTTCAATTGAGATTACATTAGCTTACTTCTTGCACTGCTGAATTTATCCTTGAATAATTCAGTTCCTTTACAGTGCTAATGATCCTTGGTTGACTCTTTATCTTTTTGTGTTTTGTAGCTGTTAGCGATTATCGCCAGTCTTTACAGTTCCAAAATTTGAACGATGAAAAGAGAAATATACAGCTAGAGGTATGCGCTTCTACTCGTTAGGAAGATGTGAAGTTGCTTTAGATGTTTCATTGCTGTATTTTTATTAACGAGTAACCTTGCTCAGGTCATGAGAGGTGGGAGAGCAGTGAAAACTTCAATTTTTGATATTGTTGTTGGAGATATTATACCTCTTCGAATAGGTGATCAGGTAAGTTTTTCTTGTTAAAGAGTCATCTTTTTACCTAAGCTTATGGCTTTTCATTCGCCCAATTGAATCAATACCGACATGTTTCGCATAGGTGCCAGCTGATGGAGTCTTAATTAGCGGCCACTCTCTTGCCTTGGACGAATCTAGCATGACTGGTGAAAGCAAAATTGTGAGTTGTCTGCACTAGTGATGCCATCTATCTGGTTGTAAAATTCTCAATGGAGTTCGTTCTTATGCTCTATTCTGATACAGGTTCACAAGGACCAAAAGTCACCCTTCTTGATGTCTGGTTGTAAAGTTGCCGATGGAGTTGGTACCATGCTGGTAAGAAACATTGTGCTTCTTCCATTTTATTTGCTGCATCTTTGTCGTTACTAGATGTATGCTTACTTGGTGTGTATTCTGGTGGAAAAATCATGGGCATGAGTTCTCAAGTTATGAGAACATACAATCATTGTAACAAGTGATGAGGACTAAAGAAGCAAAGGAGAACCCTCTCAGGAAATTATTTGTAGAAGGCTGAGGTGGGACCATAGTCCCTCAGATCATGGTCTTTTCCTTGTGGAACTTGAACCTGATATGACATCTTTTTCTCAAACCTTCTCAATTCTTTCCACTATTGCCTGCTCCCTCATTCCCTCAGCATACTTATCAATGAAATAACCATCTTAAGCCTTTGGCATAAACTAAGATATGTTTCGTGCCAAGTTCTTTTTGAAAATAATTTTGTCACACTTATTATATATGTTCCTCTGCTAGCTTTGTAGTGCCCAATACACTTTTTTTGCAAGCTGAACCCAGAGAGCCAACTTATTTGCTCATTGTCTACAATCTGAAATTTTCCACTTTACTATTTTGTGCCCTTGAAGTTGCTACCAGGGAGTGCTGCTTTCGCTTGTGGGTTCAGCTAATGGTTCCCAATGTATCCTTAGGCTTCAACAAATAACATCTTTTGGATAGTGAATGATATGACTGGTTTTCATTTACCTCCATATCTGCCCTGCGCGAGGTCCTTGGTTTTGGACACTTGTTGTTGCTTTTCTGATTATGCGTCTGAATCTTCCTATCCATCTAATTTTTTCTTGATTCTTTCATTTGGATATCCAACTATCCGTGCCATCTTACTCATCTTGTACTTACAATTCATAGGTCACTGGAGTTGGAATTAATACCGAGTGGGGACTTCTGATGGCAAGTATCTCAGAGGATACGGGTGAAGAGACTCCATTACAGGTTTTCTTTCAGTTGTTCTTGATTTAATGAACCAGCAGTACAAGGTCATGAAACGTTTAGATTAATATTGATCTAATGATGATAGGTCCGGTTGAATGGAGTTGCAACTTTTATAGGAATTGTTGGTCTTGCAGTAGCTGTCTTAGTGCTTGTTGTTCTTTTGGCTCGGTAAGTTAAGCTATCATGCAGTACAACCTTCAACTTTGTCCTGTGTTGATCCTGCGGATGTGGTAAACTGACTCGAAAACCTCAGGTTCTTCACTGGGCATACAAAAGATGCGGATGGATCTGTCCAGTTTGTTAAAGGCCACACCAAGTTCAGTACAGCTTTAGATGGAGTCGTCAAAATTATCACCATAGCAGTATGTTCAAATCCTTAATTTCTTAGACATTTGTGTTCCTTGGAATACGATTTTTGACTCCCCTCAGCAAAATCCAGGTTACTATTGTAGTGGTTGCTGTACCTGAGGGACTTCCCTTGGCTGTTACCTTGACGTAAGTCACCTATTTCTGTTAATCGCTTTATTGCCATGATTACCTATTGCTTATTGGTTTTCCCTGGTGTTCTGTTGCATTCAGCCTGGCATATTCAATGCGAAAGATGATGGCAGATAAAGCATTGGCAAGTATCAGTGTCAATATAATTTGCTTTTGTTTTGAAAAACTGTAGTTTTTGTACGACTTCTAATTATATGTTCTACAGGTTCGTAGGCTCTCAGCATGTGAAACTATGGGTTCAGCAACAACAATCTGCAGTGACAAGACTGGGACGTTGACCTTGAATGAGGTTGGTACTCTCTTGAAGTTGCTATATACTGTTTGAAAACCCCGACTTGCCATATTGCAAGATAATGAAAAATGAGCGTTATTGATGAAGAGACATCTATTAAAGTACAAAATATTTACCCACTAAGATGGATCTCCAAATCTTGACCCTTGGGCTTCTCTGTCTGTAGTTCAGATACTTAATCACGCATGCATCTTTCCTCTCCTAATTATGCATTGTCAAATTTAATAATTGCAGATGACTGTGGTTGATGCATGTGTTGGGAAAAATAGAATAAATCCAGCCAGTGACTCTTCAGAATTACACACAGAAGCTAGATCGTTGTTGTGCGAAGGTGTTGCTCAGAATACCACAGGCAATGTTTTTGTTCCTAAGGTGAGTGTATCTCTCTCAATTAGGTCGTTGTTCCTCCACTACTGTACACTTCTAACCTCACCGAAATCACTTTTAGAGGCAACTGCACTTTTTTATTCGTAGTGCATATTTAATCTCATTGGCACCTAACCGCATTTTTATACTTGGACAGACTGGCGAGGCTGTAGAGGTTACTGGATCACCCACTGAAAAGGCTATCCTTTCATGGGCAGTCAAGGTAGTCTTAATAAATACATAATTGAGTTCTTTGATTATGTTCATCTCTTTTGTATCCCCCTTATACTTATGCTCGTGTTGGATTTCCCGCCCTCAGTTAGGAATGAAGTTTGATACAATCAGATCGGAGTCTAAGGTCCTCCATGTTTTCCCTTTCAACTCTGAGAAAAAGCGAGGCGGAGTTGCCGTGAAGACGGTAATTTTCTGTTCTCACTTTTACTATGAGTCTATGACCTCGATTGGAAGCATATTAACCCAAAAGACTATCGTATATCTGAATGGACTTGTTTAATTTTTCATTCATTTAACTCCTAAACGTTTGAGCAAATGATTTTAAGGCTTAGTAATGAGTAAGAATGCTGGATGCCGAAGTAAGTAGACCAGTATAATGCATCATTAGCACAAGTAGTTACGAGATTCCATATTTGCTTCCATGCGCCTGGAATATGTGTTAGTAGACGCCAACATGAATCTCTTATCTTTGTATGTCACTGAACTTCACATCTCTTAGTTATGCTGACGATTTACTTGTTTACCATGACCCATGGCAGACTGATAACAGCGTCCACGTACATTGGAAGGGTGCAGCTGAAATAGTTCTTGCTTCATGCAGCGGGTATCTCGACTCAAATGGTTGTGTGCAGTCCATCGATAATGATAAGGTCAAGAATAATTATTTGAAAATGATTTACAAGTGGCCTGGCTGCATGCTTTTGCATGAAATACCTTGTTTAGTGTCGTAGGTGGCAAATGATCTTGCCATCACCCCTTGCTTGATTCTCGAGCACAATTAACTCTAGATCTGTGAACCGTAAGTTATCCGTTTTGTCTTAGTTTTACAGGCCGTGATTAGGGAATTTGATATATGCTGCATATGTTTTTGGACAATCACGTTGTAAATAAATTATCATGGTGTCGTGACATTGGGAGCCTTCACTGATATGGTTATTGGACTACCTCAACGCAGGAATATTTCAGGGGTGCCATTGATGACATGGCTGCACACAGCTTGCGTTGTGTTGCCATTGCTTACAGGTCATATGAATTGGAAAAAGTCCCCACTGATGATGAGGCCTTGGCAAAATGGGTTCTGCCTGAAGACAGTCTTGTATTGCTTGCAATTGTTGGCATTAAGGTGTTCATCTTGAGACTGCTTTATCAATATTTTGTCTATTATTTCTGTTCTCTTCCAATGTCATAGTGACCATCTTTCACCCTAAAAAGCGGGTGTACACGAAAAAAACTCACTTTAACGTCCCTCTTCTGCACCAACACACACACACTTTGAACTTTTCCCCATCAACTGTTGTTTGTACTGGTACTCTACTGATGCAAGTTCCCTGGTGCAGGATCCTTGCCGGCCAGGTGTTAAAGATGCAGTGAGAATATGTACTAGTGCTGGTGTTAAGGTAGCTTGTTTTTTCAATCGATTAAAATCATATTTACTTATAACTTGGCCAGTGATAATATTCAGTACATAACTTTTCATTGGTTAATTGTGCTGTCCACTTTTTTCAAAAATTGGTGCCCTTGGTAATGTGCTTATTCATTTGTAGGTTCGGATGGTTACTGGGGACAATATACAAACGGCAAGAGCAATAGCTTTAGAGTGTGGGATTTTAGGCTCCACCGCTGAGGCTAGCGAGCCAAATGTCATAGAAGGCAAAGTTTTTCGTGCATACTCTGAGAAAGAAAGAGAGCAGATTGCTCACAGAATAACGGTATGTTGCTTACAGGGTGGATCTCCATGGCAGAATGAGCGTGGATTTGATTATTTATCTTTTGCAAATTTCTGTTAGTGGTAAAATATGGTAACAATTGTTCAAGTGCATTTTCATGGTAATTTAGGTGATGGGAAGGTCCTCTCCTAATGACAAGCTTTTGCTTGTCCAAGCCTTGCGCAAGAGAGGGGAAGTTGTGGCTGTGACTGGTGATGGCACGAACGACGCTCCTGCACTCCATGAGGTTTGTTGTCTGTTATGTTTCATCTGGTTATAGCATTAAGTTCCAAGTACATTTCTGTTAAAAAGTTATTACAACTCTGCAAGGTATCCATTCTGTAGTACATACTATGCAAATCCAATATTGTTTTATAAACTGGCGTGTCGTGATATGTGATGCTTATTGAAGCTTTCCAGTCTATTGACCCATGAATGCAAATCTCAGGATAATTATATTTTTATTTTCCCCAATTTTAGGCAGATATAGGCTTATCGATGGGCATTCAAGGGACAGAAGTAGCTAAAGAGAGCTCAGACATCATTATACTCGATGACAATTTTGCTTCAGTTGTAAAGGTTGGTAGGAAATGCCACCCACTTATATTAAGTAATGAAGCTGGATTCGGGTGACTGCCTCTAACTTGCATCCATTTGTTCCCTTGTTTGACATTCTGTCTTCTTGTTTTGTCTGGAAATTATGTAGGTTGTACGCTGGGGCCGTTCTGTCTATGCTAATATCCAGAAGTTCATCCAATTCCAACTCACTGTTAATGTCGCTGCTTTAGTGATAAATGTTGTGGCTGCCATCTCTTCTGGTGATGTCCCCTTAAATGCAGTGCAGGTATCTCGTCCAGGCATCTCTATTCTATATAGTTTATATATTTCTGCAGCTAAATAGTACATGCTTGGGTATGGGATTGCTGCCAGTTTGTATGAATTGGATATTTGACTCTTAATAATGAGCAGTTTCTAAATTCTTGGTTGGTTACGTTCTTCAGCTTTTATGGGTTAATCTTATAATGGATACACTTGGAGCACTTGCATTGGCAACCGAACCACCTACGGATCATCTTATGCATAGAACACCAGTTGGACGAAGGTTGGTATCTCTCTGTTCGAGATTCATCTTATACATGTTTGCTATGAACTTGTAAATTTTTAAAGCCATTTCAGTCAGTTAACAGGTTTCAGATCCAAGGCTATATTTGTTGATCAATTTTGTAATGAAGTTGACACTTGACATAATAATTTTTGGATTTATAGGGAACCCCTGATTACAAACATCATGTGGAGGAACTTACTGATACAGGTACCGAACAGAAAAATTGTGATGGCTCGGTTGTTTGTTTTGTTGTGCTTAAGATTTCCATTGAAAATTATATATCGGTGTATGAGCATCTAGCATCGGTCTTCGTACTGATTTTGTTCATTCTCTTAGGCGTCATACCAAGTTGTGGTGCTTCTTGTGCTCAACTTCTCCGGGATCTCGATTCTGCGGCTGGAACATGATACCAAAGAGCATGCTACGGATGTGAAGAATACCATGATTTTCAATGCTTTCGTCCTGTGCCAGGTAAGTTAACTTGACAAATCAGAGTTGCAGCTATTAAGAAGCCTGATAGCCTGACCCTTTGGTACTTTGTTACTCTTAACAGATATTCAATGAGTTCAATGCACGTAAACCTGACGAAATCAATGTCTTCGATGGGGTAACGAAGAACAACTTGTTTATGGGCATAGTTGGATTTACTTTCATCCTCCAGGTAATTACAGAGTTTCTTGTTCTGTACATTCCTGTTGTTAACTCCTCTTCCCCTAGAGTACTGAATCGGCTAATTGCTGTTCAGATAATCCTGATCGAGTTCACTGGGAAGTTCACAAAGACAGTGAGGCTAAGTTGGAAGCTATGGCTTGTTTCAGTGGCCATTGGTTTCGTCAGGTTAGTTTTTATCTGTGCATTAATCACTACAGGAACACAACGTCGAATGCTCTTTCCCGTCTTCTATTTCTGAAGCAACGAATCTGACTCATCTCTTTTTCATATTTGCTTCTGCAGCTGGCCTCTTGCCGCAGTTGGAAAACTCATCCCCGTGCCTGAAACTCCAGCGTCTGAATACTTCATTAGGCCATTGAGGAAGTTGAGAAATCGCGGCCACAGCAGCAGCAGTAGTCAGGACCATTAAATGAATCAGCCGTCTCGTTTGAAATCCCCGTGCCAATCGATTGCATTTCTGACGGAGTAGCTTTTACTAGGTGGAGAATCATAACAAAGAAGAGTAGATATCACACAGTAAATGTATATCCTTTAAATGTAAAGCTCTAATCATCAGCTCAAAGTGTAAAGGAATTTAACTATTTTTTCGGCGATCTGGATCTGCATTTGCTTCGTTCAGGCCTCAGTAGTATCATGGATCGTAGTAGAAAATTTTAGTGGCAGTTTTAGTTGCTCACCGCCAGCAGGGTTTCTCTTGGTGCTTTTTCCGTTACTTCCCTGCTCGAGATGTGCCTCTCGTGGCAAATGATTTAAACCCGACGGGGAAAATATGTGTAGAGAACTACTCGACGTTGCATATGACGAAAGGAAGGATGAAAGTGAATTTACACACTGATTCCTTCATCCAGGGTTTAAGCAAATACAGATCGAGTTCTGAACTTCTGTTGATTCTGCTAATCCTAATCCTTCCTAGCATGTACCCGAAAAAACACCGAAGAGAGGCACTAAACATACTACTAAACATACTATTCTAGTTACAGTGCCAAAGCAGCAAAAAAGGTTAGCCCTAGGTCCCTTAACAGCAGCAGTAGATAATGTCACTACTGAACCACAAAATTCCCCCCCTAAAAACGAGTAAACAAGTGGCTATTTGGTAAAAGGGTCTCTACAAAGCAGTCAAGAGTGTTCTTCAGCCACCAAAATAGTCGCGGCTACTAGTCGTCCTTTCCTAGATCAGGTTACTTCTTGTGGAGCAGGAGTGTATTGCAGACAGACACTTCGAGCACAAGACCCTCCTTCTGAATCAGCTCAAAGCAACAGACTTCACCTTCCTGAAGAGAGTTGTCCCTCGCAAAGTCCGACCAGCCACCGAAGATCCTATACGAAGCACGATAACGTTTCGTAGCCTTAACGCCCCACGATCTAGCTCCCACCTTTAGCTTCAGAAACACAGGATCCTTCTTGAAGTACAGCGCTGAAAAGCTCGATGGTATCGTCTGATCCATGTAATCAAAAGGATCTCCGAATCAGTTTCTGTTTGATCAAGCACCAACGACACAGAAAACAAAAACAAAAAAAGGATTCTCTCGGCATTGTTGTTATATCATTAATGTTTGCTCGGCTTTGTTGTAAACTTACGATATGGGAACACACCGGCCGCTTTCCTAACTTCACTTGGAAACATGGTTTGCTGGAGGTGAATGCGACTGCCACTTCCTCTTCACCCAACTGCTCGACCTTACTGCCAACTGTGGAAATAAAAAAGGCAAAGAAGATGTAACAAAGATTTCTCAGTGTTTGATTTTCCTTTACTGGAAAGCACTGTTCTTCCAACAAGAGTTTGCTTTGATGAGCAAACTCACTCTGCTTCAGTTACTAAAGAGGACACAAAATCTACCTTTGTTCCTGGAACTATGAAGAACACTTCTCTCTGATTCTCGTCCTCTGCTAGCAGTCTCAGTCTGTCCACTTGGAGCCCTTCTACAAGTGGGCTTCTTCTCCTCAGCCAACTCATCGCCATAGAGCTGCTTCCCACAGCCATTACGTCCTATTGAACAAAATTGGACTGCTAAACATCTGCTAGCAGTTGTCAACATTTTTGCCTAAAATCAGGGAGAAACATTCCGAACACCACCATACCTCTGCTCCTGGAATCAGGAAGAGCCCGTCTCTCAGATTCTGGCAGTCTACCGATTGCACCATCGTTCCTCGCTGAATCGCCTGCCATCACCCTCTTTCGAGGCGGAGGAGGCGAGTAACTGTTCACCGGCAATGGCGACCTGCTTCTTCTCTTCCTTTGGTTTGCAGGAGACCACCCATCTGAAGAAAATCCCTCGGAATCCCTTGTGGGTTTTGGGAATTTCTTCCGAGGATCTTCACCAACAGCAGCAGCAGCAGCAGCAGTGGGAGGATGTATGATGACAGGGTACTGAATCTCGGATCCAGTGGGATCAAAGATGAGGACGGAGAAGAGAGAAACATTTTCTCCTCCTCCTCCGTTGTATCGGAAAACCACAGAGTAGCCAGGCGTCAAGGAATAGAACTCCCGAAACCTTTTAAAACCTTCATTCTGGAACCAGAGCCTGCCTTCGCTGTCTGCCCTAGAAACCTCCACTTTCCAGGTCATCGGGCCCGGAACTTGGATCGTCGCGCGGCCCGACAGCTCCCTGCCGTGCTTCCTTGCGAAACTTCTGGGAATCAACTGCCCAGACAAACACACAAGAATAAGGAAGACGAAGAAGAAGGAAAGAAAGACAAAAAAAAAAAAAAAACAGGAAGAAGAAGAAGTGGGGGAACGGAGGAGAAAATTGAGAGTACTGACAAGCCTGTTGGTATGGAGAGTTTGACGGAGAATCTGTTTCGAGAAATGTGGGGCGGAAGGCTCGAATAGCAAACAACCTTCGGGTCTCCGGCCGGCGACAGTTGCTGCCATTTCTCCGGCTAAGGAAAGGAAGCGAGAAATGCCCAACCCGCAACTGTGTCTGTGTGGTTGGCGTGGGCGTAGTGACCAGTGGAGTTTGAATGAGCTCTACTGCCGGGGGAACTTCGCCAGGAAGTTTGTTCGACGGGCTGGGCACGAATCCCCGTAACGGCGGGCGAGTAAGGAACTGACAGGTGGTTCTGTGGGAGTGGCCGAGTGGCCTGAGAGGGAGGGAGAGAGATCCTGCAGCACAGAGCCGTGTATTTGTTTTCTCCTTTCAGCCCTCAAACTATGGGGATTTTCTTACTGAAGTGCACGTATAACTTTTTCTTACCTATTCAATCCTTCAATGACAATAATTTTCTAAATTGACCCTTCCCGCCCATTGGCCGTTGGTCAACATGCTAAACTATGTAGGGGAGAATATACACACTCGCAAACCGACTCACCCATCCAATCCGATCCAACCCATCTATTTTTATCGTTAAAACTAAGGTTTAGGATTAGATGAGGGTTTTCATTTGTTTAACCCGCCTCTTTTGGGTTGGGTTGTGGACTTCGTAGAACCCGATCCAATCCGTGTTCCAACTATAGGTATGAGTTCGTATAAAAAAAATATTTGTGTCGTACATAAGCATATTTATAAGAAAATTAAGATATTTTCTCATATTTTTTTCTCTCGTGGTCTCCCTAATCTAATGCATTCTTTGGGTTAAAGTTTAGACGTAGATTTAATATGGCTATGATTCACGTAATCATTTTTCTTGTATACAGTTTTAATAGAATAACATATTATGGATGCGTTCTCTTACAACCTCTTTAGCCTATTTCGACAAATGTTGTGAAAAAACTAGACATATGTTAAAGTACACATTTTATTAAAATTCAAACAACATTTATGCATTTTGATACCTTTCACCTCGGTTTATTCACCAATTTTTTTTTATCCTAATTCGTTTGAAATTTTAATTAATTATATAATATTTTTATGATGTAGAATAATTATAAGTTTTGTGTTGGGTTAAACTTTTACTTAAAAATATTGCAATCCAACCCAACTCAATTAGAAATAAACTATAGAATTTTTTTTAGAGTTTTAAATTTAATATTTCCCAAACCGTAATGCACAATTCAGATGATTAAAATGGCTAACCACCCAACCCACGTACACCATATTGAAGCATATACACAGGCACCCCATGTCTTCGGACCACTCATGAGTCATGACCCGACGGTTGTGAGCACCATACTCGGGTTGGGTTAAAATGGGCGTGTACATATTCATCAACATGTTTGGACTTGTGTTTTTGTGGCCACACTGAAATGGGTTCATAAATGGAGCGAGGATACAAATAGTTACTGCTGAAGTTGGACAAAATTTGGTTGCAGCAACGAATCACAGTGACGCCAGGCTGTTGGTGCAATCAGTCCCCGATGAACTTGCGCTTCTTTGTTGTGTTCATGTACGGTCGAATCACCCACTCCGTCTGTGCTTCGGTCTGCTCCATCGTTCCCAACTTTATCTGCAAGAACGCAGTTATGGTCTTGTGGATACACACGGAAAGTCCAACCAACACTAACTCCTAAAAGAGCTTCGAACAGAAGTATGAATCTCCAGCCAAACATGGAGGGGGGGGATGAGGTCAAAATCGTCTAAGGACATACAACTTCTGTGAGCGGGATAGGTTATTCATCATTATGTACTCCTAGTTTCTAATGATTGAACCAATGATGATAAGTAAGCACCCAATTTGTTAGTGTTGATTACACTGACTGACGCTTTGGTCCTTTCCAACTAATCAGAGACAGGAACCGCACGAACCAAGTTGATTTCGGTAACCAAGAGTTACCTGATAAAGTCGCATTTCAAAACGAGGACCAATCTCCCTAAGCTCGACAGACTTGGGACCACCACGCTTTTCATAAACATGATGCCTGCACATATCAATTATCAGGAGCAAATGTCAGGAGAAAATGGTTAATGCAATGCATAAGACGCAGACTCCGTAGTGATAACAAAAGCACAAATATGAGTGTTCCAATTATCCCCGACCTGAATCAACAATTACAACAGAAATGATGATATACACTCAAGTGAAGAGCAAATCATTGTCAAGGCAACATAATGAAAAAAGAAAGAGCAGTGAAGGATAATATAAGCTTCTTTATTTTTTGTTAAACTCACCGGAACGAGATATAGTCTGATTGATTTGCAAAAGTGAGTATACGTTTGGTATCTGGCTTTGGCACTGGGAAGAGATGCTTCAATATGTTTGCTGTCCTTTCACCAAGCTGTCAATGACGGCAAAATGGAACGCATCAATACATTGACCACCAGTTGGTAATTGATTGAACATAGGGTGGCTGTAACATGTAGCATAAGAAAGTCCACCTATTGTGATGCTCTAATCACTTATCAACAAGATGATACAACAAGCATAAAACAAATTCATGAAACCCTTTGTTCCAGGAACAAGGTGGATCATGATATCTCACTTCCCTCCCCCTTTCTCTTCCTTTTCTTTGATACTTAACAACCATATGAGATCCCCCTTTAGGTGATGATAAGGTCATCTTCGGTAAAGAAGACTGATAGAAGTTTTCACGATACAATCAAGCTTTCAATCAGAAGAAAGCTCAACAATAACTAGATACTGGAAATAGAAAAAGTCACCCACACCAGATAAGTAAACGAGTTGGAATATGCAGGAATACCTTTGTATTGAAATTGTCAAGAATCAGGTGTGGATAAGCCTCAGACATCGTTCCAATTGCTTTCTTATCCTTGATATCATGTCTAGTAACCTGTGTTTGGATTCTTAACGAGTATTAGAAGCACCAAATAAACCACAAGACAAGGTACAATCATAAGATCATGTGCAAAACACTTACCACATTGAGCAAACCAAAATAAGCGGTTGGTCCAAAAGGTAGATGGCTTATAATCATGCCATCGGGCACACCACGATGCTCATGAACTAAAATGACATCTGTAAAATCATGAGAACGACAACTCTCGATAATTTCAGAAATAACCTGCATAAAGTTAAAGTTATCACTTACATAAGACAAATGATTAGCCAAAATGAGAAACAAACTAGACAAAATTCATTCCCTGCAATTGTTGCTTGTTCTGGACAACACTGATTCCTAAGGATTTCAGATAGGATGCAAGCGCCAAATTGAGGGCAGACCACTACAATTGGACTGCATGCTAGGTTCGAACAAATGTCTTATTCATACAAAGAGCTTCATCCTATTTTCCTACAGCTTCTCCCCAACAAAGCTTCACAAACAACACATGTGCGCAGAATAGTAAGAACAAACCTGGCCACCACGATTTATCCGCTCAGCATTTGGGAAAACAATCTTCAATTCCTACAGAAAAGGAACCATTTCCAGCAATTAGAAAAGTGTGACACGAGGAGGGAAAGAGTGGGACGAGTCCCTGATTTGCACCACCAACCTTCACAAACTGTACAAGAGGCGCACTTGGATCACGGGATGTAGTCAGCAGAATTTTAGGATCTTTCTCGGTTGCAGTCGCGTACTCATCATCAATATAACTCCTTGGGACTGAATTTCAGAAAGAAAGCATTAGCCAGTGAAATAAAATCGCCAATATCATCAAATAACGCAGCACATCACAGCCACCCCTGAAGTCTATGACAGTACTAATGACCTGCAACACAACATTCGATGACTCGCCTCTCCTTTCACGCACCCCATCATTCAAGTAAATCGTACATAGCAATGAACTATGATGCTTCGAAGAAGACCCATTGGCCATGATCCTATCATGAATCATAACTAGCCTGTTAGAAACCACAACCTCTTTGTTTCTTACATAGCCCGTCTCTTTAAGTTCAAACTAAATAAATTATAATCGGCATTCAGGAAGAACCCAATCATTCCTAAGCATTACCCTCGCGAAGACCAGCCCGAACACCATTTAGCTACTAACAAAGTTAATCTCATCCCCCTATTTCTTCAACTAACTTCAACCCAGCAAAAAAAGACGACGACTGCAAAAATAAGCTCACCGGCGGTCTTATCGTCTTCCAGATCAATTTCAGCCCGGAGCTCCGCCTCCACATTTCGGAGCTCGGTAGGAATCGGTTTCCCCTCTACAGAACAGGAAAGAACACACAAATTAGAAACAGCTCAAGCCAAAGAACACCGAAAATCGACAGAGAGGAAGGAATGAAGGAAGGCAAGTGGTAGTTACCTTGAAGAGCTTCTGCAATCTTGCGCTTGTTCTCATAACGGATCCTCTCTTTGCCCTCTAAGCTCTTCCGGTACAGATACTCCCTCCTCAACCGAACGTTGCGACGCAGCATCGCTTCTACACTCAACAACGAGAAACGCTTCTCTCTGGTTTAGGGTTTAGGGTTTTTCTGTCTGGGAAGAACGTCAGCGGAAGAAGCGAGTTTTCGGGACTCCGCAGACCTGCTACCGTCATTGACGCCTTCGAGCTTTTTCTGTTTTTCTTTTCTTAAGTGGGCTCAATGGAAAGAGGAAAGAGGGAGAAGGCCCAATTGATTTGGGCCGTTGCCCTTGCTGACTTGATCCGTCGGGAAGAGAAATCCAAAACCGCTACTACTTGATCGGAATAAGGTCAAAACCCTTTATTTGAAGCTTCTTGCGTCTTTCGCCATTGACTCTTCTTCTTCCTCCCCAGCCATATTTTCAAGCATAAAAATAAAGAAAATGTCAAAAGAATCCAGACTAGACTCTGAAACTCCTCCCCAAGAAATTTATAACTGTTAAAAAGTGGCTACGTGGAAGACCCAGAAATCGCCAGCGAAGCTTTCATTTCGTCTGAGCAAAGCCGGGATGCAACCAGGAAGAACCCAATTTGCATCATCCTTCCATTTCTGCAGTAGCCGTAGCTCTCAAGAAATTTTTTCATCGGTCAAAGACAGAACTTTCTCACCTCTGGAGTGATTGGATTACAATTCAATTACCCACGTGAATCCCCTCTGTCTCTCTCGCCGACTTCTATATATACCCAGCAACATGAATCCCCAAAAAATCACCAAAAAAAACAGTCGATAGATACTTCGATAGTCAAACAGAGAGAAACACAAGAGAGACAAGAGAGATGGAAACAACTATAATGGAAGAAGTGGTGATTGTGGGCGCCGGGATAGCAGGCCTGGCGACGGCTCTGGCGCTGAAGCGAGTCGGGATCCGAGCTCTGGTGCTTGAAAAAGCAGAGTGTCTCAGAACCACCGGAGCTGCATTGAATCTCTTCCCAAATGCATGGATCGCCCTCGACGCTTTGGGGGTTTCTCACAAGCTCACTCCCCTTTACGCTCCCCTGACCACCGGCTCCATTACCAATGTCGCCACCGGCGCCGTTCAGCAAATCTCCTTCACCGGAGTTTTCTCGTAAGAGACATTTCTCTGCCCCCAAATTGACTAACCATTCATTCTATTTTGGCTGCTGTTTTTGTCAGTTGAAGTTGAATTCTGATGCTGATGAGTTAAATTTTGAATGGACAGGGGAAATGGGGAAGGACCCAGACCGGTTCACCGGAAAAAGCTGCTGGAGGTTCTGGCAGAGGAGCTTCCACCGGACACGATTCGATTCTCGTCCCACCTTGCTTCCATCGAAACCGAACAATTGCCTTCAGAAAAAGGCGCTGCAGCTGCTTCTCTGGCAGTTGTGCATTTGAAAGACGGAACCACCATCAAGTCTAAGGTTCAATTTTCATTTTCCTCTGTTCTTTTCTTCTTCTTAGCTGGCCGTCCTCTGTTTTCCATGTCCTCTGTTTTTCTCCAAATCCTCACCCAGCTAACTAACAAACCTAATTGCAGGTTCTAATCGGGTGCGACGGATTGCACTCCATGGTTGCGCAATGGCTGGGACTCTCCGCTCCAATCCACTCAGGCCGATCCGCGGCTCGCGGGCTAGCGGTTTACCCACAAGGCCATGAACTCGGAAGCAATGTCCAGCAGTTCGTCGATATCGGCAAAAGGGCCGGCATCGTTCGCCTGAACGATACCGAGGTGTTCTGGTTCATCACTTGCGAAGGTACAAAAACCTCCTTACCACATCAAATCCGTAGTAAAGCATCCATTTTTACACTCTAAGAAAAACTTACTCTGTTTCCCCCAATTTCAATTACACTCTCAAGAACTTACTCTGTTTCCCCAATTTCAATTACACTCTCAAAATTTCCCCAATTTCAACCCAATTACACTCTCAGATACTTACTCTGTTCCCCCCAGTTTCAAATACACACTCAAAATTCCCCCAATTACACTCTCAAACACTTACTCTGTTTCCCCAATTTCAATTACACTCTCAACAACTCACTCTGTTTCCCCAATTTCCACCAGGAGACTACAGAACATACGACCCAAACACAATCCAAGATGAGGTGCTCAACCACCACGCCTCGAACTTCCCCTCGGCCTTCCTCGACGTGGTCCGCCACTCGGACCTCTCGTCCCTGTCGTGGGCGCCGCTGATGATGAGGAACCCATGGAACATCATAGTCGGGAACGTGAGTAGCGGGAACGTGACGGTGGTGGGGGATGCTTTTCACCCGATGACGCCCGATCTCGGGCAGGGCGGGTGCTGCGCTCTCGAAGACGCCGTGGTTCTCGGGAGGCACATCGGGAACTCGTTGATCGCGAACGGCGGCGGGAAGAAGTCGCTGCCGGCGGAGGAGATGGCGACGGTGCTGGAGGGTTACGCGAAGGAGCGGCGGTGGCGGGCGGCGGGGCTGGTGACGGGTTCGTATGTGTCCGGCTGGGTGCAGCAGAGCGGGAAGAATTGGTGGAGGAAGATGCTGAGGGTTGTGTTCTATAGTTACTTGTTGTTGATGCTGGCTAGGTATGTCAAGTTTGATTGCGGGAAGCTTCCTGGTGGTGATGATGAGCGGGTTGGTGATGACCGGAAACCGGATGGGTCGAGCAAGTTGGATTAGGGTTTGGGTAATTGGGTTGGGTGGTCTGGTTAGTGGTGAAGATTTGTGGATATGTGAAATGTTGTGCTTGTAATGTTTTGAGTTTTTTCTTATTGGGTTTGGGTAGGTTTGGTTTGGCTTGGCTTGACTATATGGCTTGTATTTAATTGATTCAATGGTAAATAAAGGATGTTTACAAAGAGGTTTGAATGTAATTTGAGAGTGTACTCTAAAGGTGTTATTATATGTAATCATTATCATTAGTTACCTAAGATTTGTATTCTTAATGATATTTTTACAACTACAATCGGTGTTATTTTACATGTCAGAATATGGTTATTTTCGTAATCATAATCGTCTTTGGTCCACATTGAGTTCTTGTCTCGATTCACATATTGATGTAGGTCGACACATACGAGTAAAGAGTAACACTTTAGGTTCTCATCTAATTATAATTTGATTAGAGCTAAAAAAGCTTTCAATAATTTAAACAAAATTCCACATAATGTACAGAAAACGAAACGAGAATAGAATGCGTTAGGTTACGTACTTATGCATAATCAGATCTAACATATTGATTTTGAGAGGTGTTAGATCTAAGAGGTGAGATTAAAAAGAAATTCTATGTTTTAATCCTTTGTATCTTCTTTATTTAAGTTATAGTTTTTTTTTCATAGATGTTTCGGGTTTGTTATCTACAAAATGATATTCATTTTTAATATATTTTGAGAAAGAAACGGTGTCCCGCTGTGACACCACTCGTATTACCTTTATTTTTAACTCAAATTTTGAGAAGCATTTGATGGTGGGATCAAAACCAAACTGAACACAATAATTGTCTAGTCTTGGTCCTAAAATGTCTTTCACTATTGGAGTGCGGTTTTCATGACTCATGAGTTTGGTCCGGTTCGCACCTGAACATTGCGCACCCTTAACGATTTGTATATTTCTAATATAATGTACAACAACCATTCTACTATATACATACCACCATGATACACTTTCTTACCAACATGGTATATTCTTATGTACTACTTAGGATTAGTGTCATGGTATGGACTATATAGTAGATGTCATTTTGAAAAATACAATTAATTTGTGCAAAATAAATAAAATTACAACTTAAAACGAAAGAGATATAACTCTTTAAATTAATTAGGTGAAAATTATCTCTCTCCGAGAGACTACAAACAAAATTATTGATAATCATACCGATTGAATTAACCAACTAAATTTGCTACTGATTAAATAAGTCGGATCAAGTCGAAATCATCGCGAGAAACCATGTGACTAAATTTCAATCAATGTCCCATAAAAAAAAATTATCTCTTTAAAAGAACAAGTTACAAGTTTACTGTTTGGTAGAGTCACATCCCGCCACTGTTACTTTTTGCTTTTTCCTTGTTCTCATCATTTCTCAATTGGCTTTACGTTTTGTAGTTGGTCCTGTCACTTTCAACACTTTCTCTCTTATCCTTGAGTTTACTGTTTCATAGAGTCACATCACACTAGGTACTATTTCGTAATTAACCAAACCTTGAGATTCTAAGTAAGGGATGATCATTTCCGTAATTAAACAAAAATCAGCTCCTTTTTTTGTTGCCTTTTCCTCTTCCACTCTTCCCAGCCACACAAAATCAGCTCCTTTTATCAAGCATCTCTCTCATTCCACCCACCCACCCACCCTCCTTTCCTTTCTCGGCTGGAGAAGAAGGAAATAGTGTCAAAGAATCCAGAGAAGAAGATGAGGAGGAAGAGTGGACCTCATCAAGATGAAGGATAGTAGGGTCAAAGTTGGGTGCGGATTGGCGATAGGGACGTGACGCTCAGATGCAGCGGCGGTGGTGCATGACTGGTGGTCCGTCAGCGACGATGGGGACGAGGCGAGTGGCGGCGTTTGAGCTGAGCGACGGTGGTTGGGCTGCGCTGGTGCGTGGGTTGTGGTCCGTCACCGGTGATGGGTGGAGGTGCGACGGTGGTCTGGTGGTGTTGCGGTGCCTGCGGTCCGACGACGAGGCTGGAAGAAGCGGTTGTGATCGTCGACAGTGACGCAGGATTTGAGAGGTTTACAACCGCTTGATTTGGGAGGTTTAGCGGTGGTGCCGGGTTTGGATATCAGGTGATGGGTTTCTTTCTCCGATTAGTTTGTTTACTCTCTTTTCTTTCATGTTTTAGTTCTCATTCTTCCTTTTCCAGGGGGGTTTATTCGTCCACTCTCAATGAAAGAGCTCTCTCTGTTGGAGGGAAGTATGAATGGGAGGCGATGTGGAGTACCCATATCTGCTGAAGTTTTTTAGACCATCTGGAAATCGAGCCTTTTGTCGTTCCAGTTTTAGGTTAGGTGTTGTTCTTTGCGTATTTCATTGTTGTACTTTCATTTATGTTCCTTTCGGCTGATCAAGCTTTAGTGATGTTATTGTTTGGCCTATTTTGCTTGCTGCCGACCGCAGGAGAAGAGGGAAGCAGCAAAGGAAAATGTGAGTTGGGTTACTCTATGATGGGAAGTGTGATTGTGCCCTACCGCCTATGAATCGATCCATGGAGAGTTGGACGACCCACCGACACTGTAGACGGTAAATTGCTGGTTGTAACATGTTCAGTTTTTACACTACACTCTATTTGTACTTATTCTTTGGTTCTTTTGGGGTTTTGGGTTTTCGTTTTTGATATGCAGTTGGTTCTGATTGTGTTTGTTCTTTGGTTCTTTTTAAGGTTTTTAGTTTTTGGACTGCCGTTGATTTTGATTGTATTTTTTTTTTGGGTTTTAATTTATGCCATGGAGTTTGTTTTGATTGGTTAGATGATTGATTTTGTGTTCCAACTCTCATCCTGTCTCTTTATTTCTCTGGCATCTCAGAATGCTATTTGATGGAAAAAAACTAAGACAGCTGGTTTTCTCAATGAATTCATCGGCCTCGAAACCACGTCGGCAGCAAGCATGCCCATAGGTGGATTGTCCGCGATGATTCTACAGCGGTCATTTTCAAAGACCCTCTGCAGACCTTGCTCCCAATCCAATTTGCTCTTATCCCCGACTCGCTTACTTTTTTGGTTCTCAACCACAAATCTGTTCATTTTGCTGCATGTCCCCCCAAATCTCACTTACTGAGTGCAAGGTAACTTCTTTTTTATGTTGGTTCAAGATTAATATGGTTTCTGCTTATATCTCTAAAGCTGGGACTGGGTTTTCATGGAAGGCTTTCAGGTCGCTTGGTAGGTTTGTGAAGCTCTCCCTTACCTCTGCCATAACGTTGTGGTAGGAAGGAATTATATTTGGGTTTAATTAGTATGTTTATGTGGTTTTTGAGTTTATTCATGTCAGCTTATTTGTGAACCAGCTTGGACTTGTGGTATACCACAGTGGTGATTATGATGGTTTGATGGCTGAAGCAACTGGGTACAGTAGTTATTTTTCTCAATCTTTCATCACTTGACCTACAATTTTTCATCGTAAAATGGTTTTATTGAGTGTTTCGAATTATTTCAGAATTTAGTAAAACGCCTTGCTTCATGAATGAATCGGAGAAAACAACACTGAGTTTATTTTTCTTGACAATATATGGATTCGTTTTTTTTTTAGATGCAAGATCACCTTATAGTTCTGCAGCAATCTGTAAGTGTCATGAAGTTTCGCTTTAGCTAATACAAACTTACATCTGCTTTACATATGCATTTTCCTGTTCATAGGGTGCATTCTGAAAACTATAGATACTAACAAGTAATTTTGTTCAATTGCAGTCATTGTTTCATCATGGATGATGTTGTTCTTTGTGTTATTGAGTTCATTTTTTTACTTATTAAGATCTTTTTTCCCCCTTTTCTCTGTTTCTTCTTGCCACAGTAAAGGAGCAGGCCTTAAAGAGGAGTTTGGGGAAGGAAGTTGCTTCCTGCTAAGGTGAAGTCACACTTTTTGTTTAATACTTTCAAATTTCAATTCCACTTTCTCCATCATATGATGGAATTAGGTAGCAGCAAGCTCTGGTGCATTTTCTATTGTCAATTCTCATCATGTTTCATGTCATGAGTAGGTTACTCTAATTTACACGTCCAGTTGTTTGCTTTTCATGTTATGAGGTGTTGTTGTTAAACTTGTGGTGGTATCTTACACCACTCACACGAGAACTTACATTCCTTTATTCCATCATAAATCATTTATGGTCTACGATGTTCATTGATGTTTTGGATTTTGTTTGCTATAAATCATAAATCATCGCTTTTTCTTCGGACTGAAATGGAATCTAGGACTAAGTATACAACTAACAATAGCAGTATTGGGAAACCGTTCAGTTCCGGTTTATATTTTTTCCTTTATATCGTTCGAGATGCTATATTGTTTTTGTTTTCGGCTCGACATGCTTCGATTATCGGAACATGCTCTTCAGTTCAGGGTTGGATATTTATACTGGTAGTTGTGCCGTGTTCTTTTGCCTATCGGTTCTCTTTCTCTTCCTTTTCATGGATTAGTAGATTTTCTTATGGTTTAGATCTCTCCTTTTGGTTTAGATTGTCTGTGTTGTACTTTGTTGATTTGCACAACGCATGTCTTATTACTGTCTACTTTCGTCTGCGTCTACTCAGATGCGTTGTACAGCAACCATGAAGTGTAGAAACGAATCCAAGAGATTATGGTGAAGGTCCACAGGGTCAATTATTCTTTCTTCGGACTAGGTTGAACTGATGAACAAGGTAAGCCGCAAAGGTTTCCTCTCTTAATCTTTTACTGAAATACTATAAACGAAAAACTACTTCTACATTGATTCAATCTTACTCATCCGTCTGCGTTCATCTTTTCTTTCAATCTATCACCAACCTATTCTCTCCCCCCTGAAGTGGCCAAAACCGGTATGACTTTACTTGCAGACTATGAGTTGTAATAAAATCACTTTCTTGATTGGAATCCTGAGTTCCCGGTTATTCGCATACCATTTGCGCCCACTGTCAGGGGAATACTGGGTTTTCATCCCTTCGTCGATTTGCTGCTATTTGAATGGGTGATTCGGTCCAAACCACTACTCTCCATTCCCTTTCAGCGCCTGCTCTCTACCACCTCCGAAGATCCTTTGCATATTGTATTGTTGAGAATCAACGATTCAGCTTGCACATTAATATATCAAGTAGATATGGTTTAACTTCATTAGTTTTTGACAACATCATGTTGCAATACCTCAAATTTCATTTTGTAATTTCTTCTGTTTGTTTTATTTTATCTTCTGTATGTTAGTGGTTCACTGGGTATAGTAAGCTCCTTATTAGTTGATTTAGACATCTATATCTAGAACATTGACTGCCAAGCTCTTAAAAGAGGGT